ATTATGAGCATATGACTTAATTAAGTGGTCAAATATAGCAAATGAGATTATAATGCACTATCAAAGTTCATTACCATTGGGAAGCATAATTCTTTAATGTGGGTTAGACGCCTTAAATCACAAAACGTAAAAACCATATATTTGAAGAAATACAGATTTCTAAGAGGTCAGTGTTATTAGCAATCCCTAATGTAGATATCAAAGTTTAATATTATTGTCTCACTTGAAGCCTATCCAGTTTTAGAGTCTTAATCCGCTCTTTACTACTACCCACTATACCATCTACACACGCATTCATCATCCCCACCATCCATCTTCATCCTACAATTTCCTCAATGTCTCCAAAAGTAGGACAGGTTTGACGATTTGGTTTCTCATGTTTACAGATTAAGGTGGTACGGTGGTGTAGTGGTTAGCGCTGTCGCCTCACAGCAAGGAGGTTCCAGGTTTGAGTCCCGGCTCGGTCGCGGGATCTTTCTGTGTGGAGTTTGCATGTTCTCTCCGGGTACTCCGGCTTCCTCCCACAGTCCACAAACATGCAAATGGGGACTAGGCTAATTGGATACTCCAAATTGACCATAGGTGTGACTGTGAGAGTGAATGGTTGTTTGTCTCTGTGTGCCCTGCGATGGACTGGCGACCTGTCCAGGGTGTACCCTGCCTCTCGCCCGAAAGGATGCTGGGATAGGCTCCAGCCCCCCCGCGACCCTACTAGAGGATAAGCGGTAGAAAATGAATGAATGTTTACAGATTAAATATCTGGACTGACCAAGATATAAAGTCACAAGTCATTTTCACAATATCTCACTTCTTCAGCCCTGTCACACAGGTTCTTGCTTTGATGGTATTTTTATCAGCTGATTTGCACACATTTTCTCACTGTCAGATGGATTGATAGTGTGTGGCAGCTAAATGTGTACAAGTGAAATAAAGACGATCTGAGTTGTATTACATTTTCTATACTTTGATCCTCTAAAGTAAAAAAAAAAAAAAAAGTCAGGCAGCCAGTTAAATGCTAAAATTAGCATGCTAACACGTGCACTATGACAACCTTCACGTCCATTTAGTGTGTTAGCATGTTTATATTTGTTAATTAGTAATAAAGATGAAGTGCAGCTGATGCAGATGGGAATGTCATTCGTTTTGCACGTATTGATCATAAACCAAATTACTGGGTAAATTAAAATTTTGACCCCGCCTCCTAGAAATTATGTCCATATATATTAGTAAATATTTGCCAACATACTTATGGGTTGGATTATGTTCACAGGGATTTTTTTGAATGAATGAACGAATGAATGAATGAAGCACGGCATTTATTTCCTATCACACATGGTTCTACACTAAATTATAAGGGAACATAAAAGCAATCAGGATTCATCCTCTGGGAACCATGAATATCTGTGGCAATCCATATAGCAGATAATGAGATACTTCACAGGATAAGTGAAAACTTTGACCTGCTGGTGGTGCTAGATAAAAAGTCAGGAGATCACCAATGTCAGTAGGATTCATCTTCTGGAAACCATAAACATCTAATGGAAATCCATCCAATACTGTAGTTGTTGACGTATTTCAGTCTGCACAAAAGTGGCAGACCAAACAACAGACTAAAAGACCAACACTGGCATCCCTACAGCCATGCCACTAGCATGGTTAAAAATGCATACTGGTATATGAAAAAAACATTTCTCAATTTAACCAGTGGGACAATCATTGAGAAGGTATGGTATGTTACATGACACTTACACATAGAAAATTACATTGTACTGCATTCAACTTGGTTTCATTGTTTTCCTAAACGTAATCTACGGATAAGAAAAATCAGATTTGAGAACATTGAGCCCCCTCACTGTGACTCTCGGCCTACTTGGCTGGCTGCTGTTGTAACTGTTGCAGACTCAAATATCGATCTGCTTTGCAATCAATCAAATGGTGAGTGCTTGTCAGGGTCATAGGAGACACTAATATCTTTGACAGATGTGGATTTATGGCTGCATGTGTCTTTCTTGTCCTCCCATTTTCACTGCCCCTCATCTACTATTTCATCTCCTTTCCTCCCCCTTTTTCAGCATATTTTCAGCTGGTATCCCAGTGTGTTTGCTGTACTCCTTTTATGGAATGAAAAACTCTTGTCTCTCTTTTTTCATTCATCCTTGTATCTCTCTCTCTCTCTCTTTGTCACTCCTCTGCATGCTGTCCCCTCTCTGCCCCCTATCTTTTTTGGATTCCTGCTGTCCATTCATGCCTCCATTCATCCCTCCTCCTCTTTCCATCATCTTTTCTTGTGTGAGGAGCTGCACTGTCCTGTCCTCTCTCCATTCATTCATCCCTCCTTCCCCCGTGCTGATCTAAAGTCTATCCACACACAACCCCTCGCTCTCGTCAGAGCTGCCTGGAATTATTTACTGCTTAATGGCCTACAGCAGCTCACACCAGCCCAGCGGTGCTTTGCTTTATTTATCGATTTTCATTCCTTTTGTCTTAGTGTGTGTGTGTGTGTGTGTTTGTGCGTGTATCTGTGTGTGTGTGTGTGTGTGTGTGTGTGTGTGTGTGCATGTGTAGGAGAAGCACATAGCAAAAGATATATAAAGCCCAAGGACGTCCTGCACATTCGAGCTGCTGGTGAAATGACCTGTGGATTGAAAGACTGATTGATTTGATGTTTGAAGGCTAATCGGCCGTTACAGGGCGATTTGTCTGCTGCCTCGACTTCTATCTGTTTATATGATGTGTGCATGAGCCCATATGTGCATGTGTGTGCATACACCACTGTGACCAGCACTCACTTATCTCCTACCGGTGATTGGTGATGAATTGTCTCTGAGCGGTGTGAGTTAACAAATTTTCTCTACTGCTGGGCCAACACTGGTTGAAGAAAATCAAGTTGTATAACATTCCATTACATAATAAGGTATTTTGCATATGGTATTGATCTGTAGTGCTATTAATCATGTTTAAGATAATGTCTTTTAAATGGGCAATGCTGTCAGAATGGTTTTCTGGCTTTTAGTGCAATGGTTGAAATAAGTCTATAGATCCTATTTTAACAGTTAGAAGGCTGATTTGTATCTTTCTCTTTTACATTTTATGATACTTACTACATGTATAAATTCAAATACTGACTATCTGTATATTGTCACATTTTGTTATTACAGTTTAAACCTTAAAACACTTGTTAAATCACAAGCTCCCACCACACCCAACTCCGTATGTAGACTTCCACTGCAGGTTTGAAGACACTGACAGGAAGTTATAAAACCCCAAATCATGACTGAGTGCTAAACAGAAAATCTATCATAGTTAAATTAAGAACTTTTCACCCTCATAATTAAGTTGCTTAATATTCCACCAATTTGTGTGTAATTTAATTTAAGTGTTTAATTGATTTCAGATTAGATCCATTGTTTAGTGATGCCTGAACATGGAATGGTTAAAATAGTTTATGGATGCACATATTGATTTAAGTGAGGGTAATAATGACCTGATTTACTTTAATACAACAATTCAGTCCTTTGTTCTGATTTGAACCATTTTCTTTATACTTTGTACTTTTCAAGTCAACCATCCATCCTTGACTGACTGCCACTCTAATAAAGGGTGGGAAGGGCTTTGAGATCCTCTGGTTAAAATGTTTATCATACACCAAATGCTCACGAACAATGCAAACTGTACTTATTTCAGCACCGGTTCCTGACCTTTTCAGGGTCCACTTGTGACCTCTCATCACAGGTTGTCGTTCAACCAAACCTAAGTGATTCTAACTTCTCATATTTTTACATTTAAATGATTTTAGGGACCAGAAGAGTTGAAAGTATTTCATAAGAAAACAAAAGTATAGAAAGGGAGAGAAGTCAGAAAAAATATACATAATATCATTCACCAGACATGTTTTTTTTTTTCTACCTTTCCCAAGCCGCAGGTTATACTAGGGGACAAGAAAGTCTTCTAAAGGTGGAAATTGACAAGTGCTTGAAATAAAATTTGATATACAAGTATGAGGGTTTTTTTTATGTTGTATCCCACTTTCACTTAAATCGTAGACTATCACCTGTTTTGGATATCAAGTCAACCATAATTACTCCCAATTAACCAACCACAATGACCTGACAGTGACAGTTCGAGCACTGTTGATCCGTGACTGAAGAAAGAAACAACTCATTAGAGTGCTCATCAGTAACCACACTGTAACTCTGTAGGAGCAGCCCTTCATGATCCATCAGTCTATAGTAGCCTACTCCTTTGAATACTGATAACAGTGAAGATCCTACCACAATGGCTCAGGGAGAAAAAAACATCAGAAAAACAACACACTCTCTAAAGCTATTGTTATCATGATACTGTTTGAAGTGATGTTCACAGAGCACTGCGGCGTCTCAACCTCACTGTTCCCACTGTCCTTGGCTGTAGATGAGAGTCTCTACATTTCAATGTGTGAGTGTGTGTGTGTGGTCATTTTTACCAAAATGACCGATTATATAAATGAATAAAGATAATAGTCAAAATATGGTTGAGATGAAAAGCAGAGGTTCCTACATGGATGGCATCAGTGTCCCTCATACAGCACCTCCACAACCCCCTCCCCGTTGTGATGATGATGATGATATGTTATATGGCCAAACCCTATCATTGTATTTTCAGATGAAGGAGAGAGAGGGAGAGAGAGAGAGAGAGAGAGAGAGAGAGAGAGAGAGAGAGAGAGAGGGGTCTGTGTATTTTCAGCCACACGCTGACAGCTGTGCAGTTACCCCACGTAGGTGCTCATATCCGGAGAGACACGGAGACAGAGAGGGAGAGGGGGAGAGAGGCTGACGTCCCTCCCTTTTTTTGGGCATTTTTTTTTTTTGCTCGGCAGACTCGTGTGTGACCTATCTGCTACCGGATTTCCCATTAACTTTTTTAAATTTTTTTTTTTATACACCATTTTCATTGTCGCATCCCTCTGTCCCTCGAGTCTTTGGAATGAACTGTTTTCCTGCCTGCGTCGTTTCCATGTCAGCATGGGAACTGCCGTGTCCAAGAGGAAGAATTTAAGAAACGATGCGATATCTTCTGTGGCAGCAAAAGTTAGGTGAGTGACACCCTGCAGCTCTCCGCCGTTACCACCTGATTTACAGCAGCCTCGGGAAGTCTTCGCGGGTATTTTAGCCTTCGCGTGCGAGCCGTGTGAAGTTAAAACGAGTGGCAGCTGTGTGTTTTTGATGAATTCAGTGCGCTATCCCGGCTACAGACAGCCGGCTCTCTGCGATGCGCAGAGAGGCTCTTTGCGCTTTCCGCACGTCCGCCGACTGTCCCGTCTAGCCCGGGGCGTGCGGCTGAGTGCTGTGTGTTTCAATTGCCCTTTTAATCTCTCCAAACTGCACCTGTAATGAGCAAATGTAGCCTGCCTGGACGGCTGCCCTGTAATTCCCCAATCCCCTTCTTTTATTAGGACTCAATGAGCTGGAAAAGGATATTTGCCTCTGGCCCGTCGGAGCTTTTACTGTTATTGTGAATGAAGCAGCGTTGTGTAATGGAAGTCATGCAGATGCAAAGCAAAGGGATGCTATGACTCACGGTAACCCTGATACACTTTCTCAGTTTGCCATCACCTAAAATAACCTATCATCATGTTGTTAAAAAAAAAAACAGCCTATGACTTGATTTCTAATGTAATTCAAAACAGAAACGGCTTTCTGTCTGGCCGCATCGACCCGAGCGGCCGGACAGGGCGGCGATGAGGCTGCTGCCTTCACACCCCGGTGGGCAAATGATCCAGCTGTCAATTAATCAATCACAGCAATCGATTCGGTTGTTTTGCAGTGATCACCTATCACTGGTAGTTATTGGGGCAGTCACAGAGGACAGCGCCGGTGAGCGGCTGTTCATTTATTCAGCCGGGAAAAAGCAGTGGGACTCAGACTGTTTGGCCGGAGTCCAACCCGTTAAAAGCTGTTAACGACTCACTCGTAAGAGGCGCACAATGTATATGAGGCTGTATGGATTTTTTTTTTCTCAAATGACCAGATCCGCATCCAGATGTTTTAGCATCATGCAGACACAGCAATCTCTATATCCATCCTGTGCTGGCTCGCATGTCTATATAAGTGAGCTGAAGCTGCAGTTTGTTGAGGAGCACGTGTGGCTGTGTTCATATGTCTCTCTACACATGAAGTGCAGACATTGAGCCACGACCCCGAGTCAGATCCCATTGTAAATTCAGCGTTTCCGTGCTCCAGCAGTCTCCTCACAGCAGGCCCCGGTGTGTGATTTTGATTCAGTCAATGAATGACCTTGACTTGTGCGTGCAGACTCCAGCATCCCCCAGATGTGGGCTGATGTGCTATTACGTCATTTCTCTCACTGAATGTGTATGTGGTCCTTACTTGCATTACACCGCCTATACTTACAGGCTGGCATGTGTGCCGTCTTTGCAGTTGTGTGTGTGTGTGTGTGTGTGTGTGTGTGTGTGTGTGTGTGTGTGTGTGTGTGTGTGTGTGTGTGTGTGTGTGTGTGTGCGCGCCCGTGCGTATGCCACCTTGAAAAGATGATGAGAATGTGATGCCCATAGAAAATGGAAAGTGGCTACAGTGCTGAGGAGTCTTAACTGTAAATGTGTGATACTCACTCACTCACTCACTTTTTGTTCACATCTACAATTGAACTACTGAAATACTGCATATCTTACACAACTGGTAACTACAGAGCACACACACACACACACACACACACACACACACACACACACACACACACTTATCTTATTCCACCTTCATCCATCTCCCTCCCGTTCTCTTTCTCACACAAGCAGAAAAGCCCAAACACACACATGCGAGTCAGAGTTTAATTTCTCAGAGTTAATGGCAGAATGGACCTCTCCTCCTGCAGCTGAATCACATCCAATATTCATCAGTCTTTCACCTGCACATGACCCCATGAATGTGGAAGCGAGCACTCCGAAGTGGGTTCTCTCCATCTCTCCACCTCACACCCATAAACATTCAAACATATCTAAATGCATACAGTCAGGCACGTGTGCAGTGATTTGCTCTCTCCATTTCATCTGCTTATGCTCTTGTTTCCTCTCCTCTGTCTGAAGAGCCTGGGCTCTCATGAATAGTAAATGTTAGAGCTCTGTCTGCAGTGTCAGATGTATCATCTCTTTTCTTTGCCATTACAGATATTTATGTAGCAACTTACATCCACACTAACAGATTTTACCTTTGAAACACAATTTCATTTTTTACAAGGATCCATATACTGTACATTCAGTACCTTTTGTGATCTGGTGTCATGTATGCCAGAATACACTAAATAGGTTGAGTGCACAACAGTGAAACAGTTGGAAACAACTACAATGAGTAGCTGCTCTCCCTCTCTCTCAGTGCAGCCTACTGAAAATCCTGCTGTACATCAAATCTGTTCAATCCCTCTTTCTAACCTTCCCTCTTTTGGATATACTTGACACACAAAAACGCACACTTTCACACACACTTATTGGGAACCTCACAGGCAATTTACATTATGTGTTTGTGTCTATATGAAAGTATGAGTCATCTTCTTAACACTTCCGAGCATAGACTGGGACCAGTGACAGTAAACACATTTGTATCTAAACTCTTCAGTATTTACACACACAGACACACACACCCACACTTTTGAATCAAGAAAACCTGACAATTCCTGTCCGTAACCACTTTATGCATAGCCTTAACCCTTACATTGACCATAATGCAATCCTTCTTCCGGCATCGACCATAGGCAGTACCAACCCAACACCATCCTTTCATTTAAACCAAATAATTTTGAAATGTCCTCACTCTCATCGGTGGAAACATGTAATGAACCATAACCTCGTTTGTCATTCACAACTTTGTAATTTTATTCTCGTGCATAGACTTGCTCATAGACTGTGTGACACTTCAATTGTTTGGGAGAGCAATGTAAGTGCAATGAATACCACAGAGTGTCCGGAGGACAAACCTCATGGTGGCGCTACAGCGTCTGTACAAAATTGGTTGTTGGGCTAGTCCAGTCTAGACTTAAGCGTCGGACCAACTGGCCGACCAACACTGCCATTCCAGGGCAATGCCACTATCCCCCCATCCATCCATTACCCATACCGCTCATCATTATCCGACACATCGAGACAAACAACCACTCATTCACACCCCACAGGAGATATTAGAGGCAATGCCACTCGCATGAATTAAAAAACTTGTACACCTTATTTTGGAAAGCACCGTCAGATGACCTGTTTTGTCACTGAGGCATGAGGAGTAGCTCGAGGAGACCACGCAAATGTGAATGACCAGATTCATAGGATTACATACGAACAGTATGTAGGAAACACTAGAGAGACACAGGCTCCTTTGTACCTGGCTCTCGTGTGTGCCTGTGTCATCTTATGCATGCTTATGGATAGCTGGTTATGAAACAGGTCACACTCTCCCCTTGAGCAGCTCATGAGAAGTAGCGAGCAAGTGAGAGCGAGAAGAAAAGAGAGAGGAGAGATTACCTCCAAATTACACACCAGTATTCTGCGACATTGAGGGATAAAAGCAAATGCTTTGATCTCCCTGTCAGCTGGAGAAGAGGGATGTGCTGCGGTTCGGCTGAAGGGCATCGGACAACGGCGTGCACAGAGGTGTGGGGGTGTGAAAGATGGCGTGAAAGATGAAAGGATTGGTTGTTATACTGACGCATGCAAATGAGATTGTTTCTTCGTTTGTCCAGGACAGGTGCGACTGTATTTGTCGTAGGCCTGCTGTCACTCTGTTCATGGGTTCAAGGGCTGTTACGTAATTGGTTGTTTTTTTGTGTGTGTGTTTTTATGCCGCCACGCCATTGTCAGCGGTGGCTGGAGGCATTACGTTTTCAAGTTGTCCATCCATACACCCGTCATACTCTTATGAACGCAATAGCTCAGGAACGCCTTGAGGGATATGCTCATTATGACAACAAAAAAAAAACAAAAAAAACAATACGTTTTATTAAGTTCCTTCAGTCTTCACTACACATTAAAGAAGTCTGGACGGACATTGATGTAAACTACATACTCAGATTCACTCAAGCTCAACAGAGGGAGACCGTTTTTTCCTCGTAAGTTCTGAGAATCCGATCACTCTTGGCTAAAATCCTACTTCATTGGGCTTTCTTACTTCCTTTTTTACTCATGCATTTTAAAAAATATATAGTATACGTGATATATTTCTAAGTAACATGTTGAGTATTGTCATTTGAGCTCATCCATCTCCCTCTCCATCTCTTTCCCTCCTCCTTAGTTGAATCAGAGAGTTTAATTCTTTGCCATAAATATGCCAAATGAGGCAGATTTAACTGAGTACAGTCTGAGTGATGATTAAGACTCCAACAGTGTTATCTGATTGTTTGCCTGTGTCTGTCTGCTATCGTGCGTATTCTTTATTCTCTGACAAAACAATATCGACTCAACTCTTCTCAGTTGCCGCAGAAATGTAGATGTTCAGATTTGATGAAGAACTTGTGATATGGTCAAAAGCTCGAAGGCAAGTGTGTAAGTGGACTTTGAGAGACAATTGTAGGGTCAGCTGCTGTTTCCAAGGTCATGAATGGACTGTTCATGTATCTTTTTCCTTTTTTTCACAAAATACACTTTGACAAGCCACAGCAGGAAAAGCACAGGGACAAATAATTAAATTAATGATGAATCCATATGTCCATCCCAGCTCACTGTCAAACTAGTAATGTTTCAATCCAAATTTAGCGCAATTTGTACAGAATTTCCAGATTATCAGCAACATAAAAAATGTGAATTATTGCACGTTTCCATCAATTAATGTTAAGTGAATATCAGGAGTTGGCTGCATGGAAACAAACAGTTGATGGCGCTAATTATCCAGTTGGGTTCCATGAAATCATTGCAGGGGAAGTTTTACTCATACACCAACTTTTTCTTTACAAAGTGTATAGACTTTAATTTCTGACGTTTTTTACTCATACATGACGCATGCCTGTCAAAATGTGTGTGGAAAAGGCCAATCATCCAGTTAAAAGTTGTGTGTTAAATACGTTTAGACGACTGCAGAGAAACAAAAGAGTGCTGTGTTGTGT